GGTGGTGGTTGTCTCGCAGTGTAGACTAAGACCCGCAATCACTGCCACCTCTTCGGCTTCAGCTTCGACTTCACCGCCGTCGGAATAACCAGTGGCTCCATCGCTGAATGAACCCAGTTTGTCGTATTGGGGAACACTGTCGCAGAGAGAGAAAGTATGTCGAAACGACCATGAAATGTGACTGTAGCTCCGGGAATGGTCGACGGTTGTTTGAGAGTCACATTCGCTACGGTGCCCGAACCGGTGAGAACACAAAGACCCATACTCCTTTTCCGATAGAACAGCGACACGTCATCGACCACATCGACGCCGCCGGCGACCTCGAGCACGTGCGGGCTCATGGAAGGCTCGGTGTCGAGGGTTATGATACTGGGTGGGTTGGGTTTGTTCTTGGAACCAGGAGGTCGTCCTCTGGCGCGACGAACCACCTCGATGGTGGCTTCGTCGCCGCCTCTTACGGTGGGTGTGATGGCATCGCTTGGACTACAGTTGTCGGCTTCCTCGGTAGTTTGGGTGAGTTAAAAGTGATTGTAGTGGTGGAAATTGTGGGTCTGGTTGAGCTTGGTGAACATGTTGTTTGGGCGTTCCTTTTCTTTTACGCATTCGCTTTTCATCTTCTCTTTCTCTCTCTAAATCAATATCAAATTGTATGTAAATATCTCTATCAGACAATATATTCAAAGGGTTGGCCAGTGTCAGACCATGGTCATAAGGTTGCTTTTTGTTGCTGATAATTTAATTGAAACGACGCAGTTTTTATAAGGGGTAAAATTGTCTTTCACTATTTCCGTTTACACCAATTGGCCAGAGATCTGACATTAGGGGTTAATTACACCAAATTTAATAGTTTAAGAGAGCAAATTGTAGTTCAAGGGAATTATTTACACATGGTCAATAATTATAGGGTTGTTTTTTTTTTTTTTTTGGTACTTTATCCATAGGAATATTGTAAAGGAGGAATAACTCAAATTTCCTTGTTTCAATCTTTTCATTTTTTCAGGGTTATGATTCTTATTGCATGGATAATGGGTCCACCTTCCATAGTTTTGGATCATTGAATTTGCGGATCTCCATTCTCATGAATTCATGATTACGCATCCGCGAATGATCCGTCTCTTTTGTTTGTATGAATTGACTTTGGGTGGGTATTGTTGCTTTTTGATGATAGGTTGATTCATCATCATTACATTACATTACTTTATGCTCTCTTGTCCTTTCCATCGTCTTCTCCTTTTACCAATTCCCTTTCTCTTCTGGGGCTTGACTTTCTTCTGCTTCAGCCCGGCCCCAACATTTTGACGTTGAAGTATACTTTAAGAGGGAAACAATATAGTTTGTCTCTGTTTTATTTCTCTGAAAAACTCCAGTAAATAAATAAAATAAACCCAGATTTCAGGCATTTTAATGACAAATTGCATGCTCGACTGACCAATCCACCAAGAACCCACACTCCTTTGATTGTCATGTACAGGACCGAGGCGGACAAGTGAATTTAGTGTAATTTTTTTTGTAATTTTAAAGAGTGTAAAGGGAAAATTTTATAGGTATACAATTAAAAATAAAAAATTTAATGATATATAACGGTAAAAAATAAAATTTGGGCACCGTAATGTGCCTCGATCCCTGGCCATGTATTATTATAATTATAAAAATAATATGTATAATACCTACATGAATGTGACATTTGCATTTCTTTTATATTCTTACATTTTGATTTGCTTTGTTTTTTAATAGAGACGTGACATAATTGTTCTTACAAAATTGGAGTGTAAGAGTAGGAATGAAGGTCAAGGGTTGGACAGGAGGTTCTCGGATGTTAAACTTTCAATCCAAGTCCAAGTTCGACCTGAGCTCATTTCCAAACTCCAAGTTATTTCCCTAAAATCAAGTTAAGCTTGCATTATGTTCGGGTTACTAATATATATATATATGTATGTATAAAATAAAAGTGAGTTTTGATTTAAGCAGTTGTTTTAAGTGGTTAAGAATTTGATCCTCGTGCCTCAGTAATATAAAAAAATAAAAACAAAAATAAAGTTAGTTTTGATGGTCTATTACCTTTACTTGGCCGAAATAGAGTAATAACAAAAGTTATCCAAACTAATTTGAAAAACCGGTTGGACTCTGGTTGAATTTGTACTCAGTACACCCAAATTGCATCCTTTTATATTAATTGATTTAAAAGTGCTTTTGAAGGATAATTCTATCATTTTACTTGTTTGATATTATTACGAGGTCTCCCTCAAGCCCCCCCTTTTTTTTAAAAAAATTAATATACTTTTAGTAAAAATGATAGTGCAAAAACTATATCAACCCAAAACAAGCAGAATCCAAGTGTTTAAAAAGGTTTGCTACATTGAAAATAGCAATGAACAATGTTATTAGAAGGGAATAGCATGACCTAATTAATTGTTATCACCAAATGTCTTTGAATTGGTCATAGTAGAGGAGAACATGTTGGGTGGGCCGGCCATGTCAAAATACACTATTCAAAATGGGTCTTGCTTAAATAATAATTATAAACTTTTTTAACTAAGTTGAAAGAGACCAATAATGTACTATGTTTTGCTCATCTAATATCTTTCCCTATTTAGAGATCTACTCTGATGCATATGAAAGTTATACAAAAAATTAAGTCTAAACATTCACTTTGAAAATCGTTTTTCAATAGCTCTATGACCATAACAACAACCCATTTCAATTTTTAAACTTTTTTGAGGAAAAACCAATAATGAGGTGGTTCTCTTCACCAGAGTCATAATATTCTTTAGTTACAAAATACCTTCACATAGTAGAAGGTCAAGAGTTTAAGAGTAATAAATAATATTTTTATATTTTAAACTAGATTGACATAACACATTTTAAAAAAAATTTGAAAAGCATACAATTTTAATAGAAAATGTCAGGAAACTAAACCCCAACATGTCCAAAAGCTTGTCGAGGTCTCACCAATGGCCGCTGACTCTAAGATGATCATAATCTCTGTCTAGAACTAGATACGTACGTATGTGTGTGTGTGTATATATGAGATAGTGTGTGTTGTCTCCTTGGGATCTCATGAAACAGAAGAGAGAAGAAGAGATCGCCTTTGACTCGGAGACAGTTTCTTAATTTGCAACTGTGTAGCTTCTTTTTCTTTCTTTTGTCTGTGTAATACTGTAATAGCCTATAGTAGGCCCATGAACTCACTCATGACTCCTCGGGAAGCCCAAAAACCTTCTAAACCCTTCACTTCCAGCCTGAGTCCTGCATTTTACAGTCAAACAAAAACCTACCCATTGGAAACCAAACCCATTTTCCTCCACACTTCGACCCTCACTCTCACGCATCCCCTGCACCCCCACCTCTCATTTATTTTTTATTTACACCCCCCTCTCTCAATAAAAGGTGTAAATAACAAAAAAACAAATTGTATAACTAAGGTTAATAGACTTGGGTGGATGTATATATATGAAATCATATTAGACCACTTATGAAGATCTCAAAGGTCAAGTGTAGTGGGTTTTTGTAATAACCGTCGTTTGGCTTATATCGAATTTGGATGAAAATGTAATAATGGGTGAGTATTAGACCCGTCTGAGTTTGCAGGCCGAGTAGGTAGGGTGGCCTGAGTCGCAACGAGAGCGTTGCAAGTTTGGATGTGGGAAAATGTAACAAGGGTTATTTGTTCCATATCGAATCCGGATAGAAAAGTGATTGGGTATAAATGAGTAGGTATACAGCACTATCCAACAACTTGAACTTTTGGATAAATGAGCACGCGCCCATTTGTTACAATTTTCTACTACTACTGCAACTATATAAATCCCAAGAAAAACATTGAAGATGGAGCACCATGTCCATGTTTTGTTTTCATTTTATGTGTACTTGTAATCTTTTAATTTCGAGTAATATCACCTTACTTTACATCAAGGCCGACCTTCTTCGAATTTTTGGAGGATATTTTGATAATTTTTTCACTTATTATGTTGTTCTAGTGCGAGAGTTGTTATTTATTATAAACTATTAGTATCTGATGTTGTTTTTTAATTATGAGTATAAAATCTTTGCAACTTTCTTTAGACGTAATTGTAGTTTTGAGTGAAATAAAAAAAAAAAATCTATGTGTTCTTGTTGTGTGTTTGATTCTCAGAAGAAATTTGTTACATAAACAACAATCTTAGGAGGGGTAAGTAAAATTTATTCTTTTTTATTTTATTTTATTTATTTATTTTTAAAAGTTTTCCGTTTGAATCGCTTGGTAAACTTATAAGTCATCTTTAAGGATGCGAAACCCAATATAAGGCCGTATCTTGCCTTCCCCAATTCCCCGATGAAGTATTATGGGCCTAGTTGGTGGAGTTCAAGAGAATTTGTTTGGCCCAAACTACCTGGCATTTTGGCTGGATCAGAAGAGGTAAAGCCCCCTATACTCGGTTCCAAAAAAAAAAAAAAATTGACTAGGCTTCACTTTCAACAAAGAAAAAGCCTACTCAAATATGCTTGTTTCTCCTTTAAACTCTAAATTGGTAATACAAAACCTTAAATAATGAAAGCGAGTATTAAAGAATTCCGTTGAATCATGTGAAGTTGGGAATTTCAGTGGTCCAAAGCATGATCACATAGAACAATGGATATTTTCTGGGGATAAATAGCGACATTTTCTATCTATACATATACAACATTTTGTGTTATAGTCCTTGTAGTCGCTACCTATGTAAATATTTATTTTTTCTAGATAATTGTTGCAGTTACCAATTGGTAATTGCATAGAGTTGTTATTTGATGGTTAAAGTCCTGCTGTTAAGAGATGAGACAGATAAGAAAATTAATGCTGTCTGGGCACGGCAAAATCAGACCTGGAGTATCCTATCCAATGAAACACCATTGAATGCCTATCCAGGAGCCATGTCAGCACAACACTATCCACTTGATCAACAATGAGTGGTTGTCCTGCTCCATACTTGGAGAATATGGATCCTTACATTCATTCATTTAGAAAATAAAAATATCAAACTTTCTCAGGAAACAAACAAACAAACAAAAAGCAAATTTAGCAAGGGGAATAAAAAATAAATAAAAAAGTCCCCAAATTTCTTCTATCTTCATTCATTCTCTTTCCCTAGCCGCCTCTGAATCTCTCTCGGGAAAACCAAGTATTGTTAGCCTGGAAGCCATGGCCTCATCCACCTCCACCCCACTTTCTCTCTCCTCCTCCTCCACCATAATTGACGGCAGGGCTCCTCGTCAATCAGCTGCCGCTTCATCACAATGTGTCACTCTCCCCACCCTCCCTCCCCCACCGGTGCAGTCTCAGCGCCGCACCTGGAAGACCACTGCCCATTGTAAGTAGACCTTATATATACACACACACACACATACCCAAAATGCATTATATACGAATGTTTAGATGTAACATGTTTTTATCCATTGATCTTCTTGTTTCCAGGTCGAAAAATTGCACGAAATGTGATTGCCATGGCCACTGGAGAAGCACCTGCTGAAGTTGCAGAAACTGAGTTGCCAGAGATTGTCAAGACAATTCAAGAAGCTGTATGTAGTAACCACTCCTACTCTCATATACTATGTTGTTAATTTTAGTTAAACATAGCACTTGGATTTTTGGTTTTGTAGTGGGAGAAAGTTGAAGATAAGTATGCTGTGAGTTCCCTTGGTGTAGCTGGTGTCGTCGCGCTATGGGGCTCCACTGGATTGATCTCGGTGAGCACCTCCAACTGCTCATTGATCTTTATGTTACAATACTAATCAATCATGATATGTTTATGCTTTTATGAGGATCTACTCTAAAAACTGAAATTGTAATAAGGGGTGAGCAAACTATTCATCATTGTAGTGAAGGGCTTTCAATTACATGATAATTAATCAAAGAAAAGTTTTCTGAGTGATGGGTTTTGCTTGTCTCAGGCAATTGACAGGCTTCCATTAATTCCAGGCGCTCTTGAGCTTGTAGGCATTGGTTACACAGGGGTACGTTGAATTATGTTTAATGCTGGTACTCATGTAATAAATCATATAGTTCAAACGCCAATCTTTACACTTAATTAGATCCGGTCAATGTCAATGTTAATGGTAAATTGCAATTACTGGACTGATGAACTAACAATTATGATTCTTTTATGATCTGCTTGTATACAACCTTAGTACTCATGGACCTGATTTACCTAATTAATAACCACTGCAAAAGAAAAGCCTAATTACAATGCATTTTTAAGCAAAACACTAATGCATTGCCTTGTTTTTCCACTTCTTGCAGTGGTTTGTATACCAGAACCTGGTTTTCAAACCAGACAGGTATTTCTTTCTTACTTTTTTTTTTTTTTTTTTTTTTCTTTCTCAAATTTAAACCGTATAACCTTAAGGATCAAATTTATATGAATTATGCTTCTGTGCATATCGAATCATTACTCATGAGCAAAGAAATTTCAGGGAAGCTTTGATAGAAAAGATCAAAGACACATACAAGGATATTCTTGGGAGCAGCTGAAAGGAAGAGAAGCTAGAAATGCTGCTAAGGTAAGGTGAATTCATTTGCTGAAGGATATATATATATTGCAGCAGCACTCAGGAATTTGGAATATGCAGTCTTTTTTGTTCAGATAAGCCTTTAACCAGTGTAAATTCATGTAATGTACTTTTCCAAGGTACATGTATCAATATAATACATCTTCCTAAATTAGTGCTATTTACAGTGCCTACTCAACTAGCTTTTGTGAATTGTAAGTGCTTGAACAATGCATTTAGTAAAGTACTCTGCGTCCACAAACTTATCATCATAAAATGGCATCTCCTTCTGGAACGCTGTCTCGGCTAAATTGCTCAAAACTTGCACAAAAGACTCATTCTATGCTTTGACAGGGTTGCTGGTGATATGGTATGAATGTGACATGGCTATCTGTGCTTTAAACTTCATACCCTTCAGAGTTTAGTCACTGAAAACTACCATATTAAAGAAAATGTAAGCATCACAGCATATAATCTAATTAATACAAAGCCATATGTGGTCTGAGACTTTTAGTTTTAAAGGGTGAATTTGTTAAAACAGCAACTTGAATTCTCGATATTCCTTTTGTGTCTAATCAAATGAATTATTGATTCTAATTGTTGCTACAACGATGCTAGTGAACCAACTGTAGAGGACCTGTATGGCTGAGAAGCTGAGAAGCATAGCATTGAACCCATTTTATTGTAATCTTGACTTCTTTCTTTGAACAAATATTAAAGAAGCCATAATGGGATAGCTAGAAATGGCCTCATTTCAATTTTTTGTGATGCCTTGATTTGACCAAAACATGTTTTGGTGTTCAAATGCTACAAAAATTGAAATGAGTGGTTCCTCAACAAATATAAATATATGCATATGTACATATATGTATTGAAATGAGTGGTTCGTTTAAATTTGACATTCAAATGCCAATGACAAATTCCCCCAAACTGAAATATGAAGCTAGAAGAAAAAGAAAAAATGTTTGAACAACAATTAGTTATATTTGCTACAGCTGGAAAGCTTACCAGGTATAGAGTGGGCTGTTTGGATGAAACTCATAACCCTTGTAGGACTCGAGGATTTTCTTGGAGACTATAGTTTTCTGGTTGATCATTGCCTTGTTTGAAACCTCATTATTGAACATAGGAGCCCTGCCAGGGTGGTCAAATGCACGCAAACCATGGACTTCGTTAAGCTGAATGCAACCTAGATCTGCATGTTAGCAACTTCTAGTACAAAGGACTGCAACAAATTCAACAATAGTATAGACCCTTCAAACAGAACACGAGATTTATCAACATTTTCTTAACTAGAAAATAACTAAAAAAATTACAACATTTACATCATTTTTAGTAAGAAACAGGAACAATAAGGATATTCATGGATACAAGTAGACGGCTAAGAAGAGAAGCTTTGGAGAATGCTGTAACTAGAGAATTCTACCATGATCATACTATTGTATGGTTGCAATAGTAGTGATTGTTTTAATTTCTTTGTAATTAATAGTAGTAATAATTAATGTAGTAATTTTTGAGAGTTCAAAGTATTGAATGGCACGTGAGCAATTCTCTTCTTCATTGCCATTATCATGATAAGAGGAGGCAGTGCTTGGCTCTTGTTCGGCAAAAGAGGCCACATTTGCATTGATTTTCTATTATTGCTTATAACTCATTCCAGGAATAAAGATTGCCCACTTAGCACATAGCTTGTGGATCAATAGGCTCTCATCTGTTTCCTGCATCCATTTGCCCTTCTGAGAAGTTCTAGAATAACCCGGGGTACCATACCCCTGGGGGTCTCCCAGCCATTAGATCATCCATCACGCTTTCGGTCCATTGTATTGACTAATTAAAATAGTAACTAGTAAGTGAAAATTAAGGAAAAATACTAATAGCATAGCCCTGTTTGGTTGCAGAAGAGACCATTTGACCTTAATTTTCACTAGCTAGTTACTATTGTCATTGGCAGATACAATGGAAAGAAACAGATGAAGACAATTTATACATCATGGAATCAAGCAGCAATATTCTTGCCTATTTGACATTGTGTGCTCAGCATATAGAAGTGAGCTCCTGCTGCTCTTGCCGTACAAACAATTGTACCTAATGTCAACATTATTTTTCTTTGAAAGGCATGTCCTGCACTTTTTTTATATATTTTATATTGAAGGCATGTCCTGCATTGATTGGGTCATAGTCCACAATTAGTGTTGAACTTGCCCTCTTTAATTGTTACTATTTTTGGCCCTTCTTTTATTTTTCCCTCGTCCATTTACACAATTTGCCCTAAAAACCTTGAGGCTGGCCTTTTATGTGGCCTATTTGATGAACACAATCCTTTGATTTATGGGATAGTATGATCATGGTAGGATTCAAGTTTAACAAAGTGCATTTGTAAACAATTATGAAAATTAGCTAGATGTTGGATTTGGATCCTCTCCAGCCAAATCCCTCTCTGGACTCCGCATACTTCAATCATGTTGTCTAGCTTCAGCCACATCATCATCTCGCCGAAGTCTGCCACTTACAAATTCAATTGTAACATAATTCCAACATGGATGATAATGTGCCTAAATCTAGACCACATGATTTAGGTCTGCCGAATTTAGGAGCATCTATTTTGGGAGATTTTAGATACAAGTGTGTGTATCTGTTCGTTCATTCATATATCTCTATTTGGTGTTCAGTTTGCACTCGTGCTATATGGCTCTCTTCATTAAAAAGTCACCATGTAACTAAGTGTGCGACTGTGTGAGAGACTTCAATATACATTATTAGATCCATTTCTTTAACACGTTAAGCTTCTGCGATAGTCGGTAGTGAGTATTAGAGCTTTGGTTCTAGAGGTCTTAGATTCAAGTCTACAACTCCACATCTGATCCCAATCCCGGTTGGTGTACGTAGTCTGGTGTTGGAAATTCTAAATATCTCTACATATCCATGGACGTAGGCCAAGTTCGAGTATGTGATTGATTTATTTCTTTTTGTTGGATCTCCCGTTGTTACAACTTACAACAGATTATTCTTAGAGTTGCATGAAACAAATAATTCATTTTATTTTTTCCATCAAGGGAAAAGGATGCTATTATGTGACAAAAATATGGTTCGATTCAGCGTTCTACTTTAGCTGGCAGAGAAGTGTGCATACAAGAAGCTAGCCACATAGTCTCTTAATCTTGATCTTGTTGAAACAGCAAGAAATCAAACTAAAACTACACACTGAAAAATGATTCCATGCAATACCCAGAATTTTATGCATTTTCCAACAAAAGTTTAATTTTTTTTATGAAAAGACAATCAACATAAACTGCAACAGGAGGGATTTATGAACATGAACTTCTACCAATAATCAACAGAAGAGATACTGAGGATACAATAAGTGATATGGGCACGTTATAGTCCGCGGACGTGGCATCGGGGCAAACAATTTAAATACAGCTCATGCAAGAGCACCACAGAATGGGCCGAGCTCGGAGGATCCACCAAAGAAGACCAAGCCCATTAGAAAGAAGGCCCAAGACTGATAGTCTAGCAACACTTGTAATTGCCTATAAAAGGGCAGTGAAGAGAGTGAAAGAGGGGGAATTTGGATTTTTGTTGAAAATATAATGAAACTCTGTAAATTGGGGGGGGGGGGGGGGGGGGGGATAAAATTATTTGCATCTTCAATTGGCGCCGTCTGTGGGAAAGGACGAAGACGATCGATTCGAGCTTGATCAATATCATGTTGATTCAAGCAAATTCGTGAACAAAAAGTTTGATTTATGGAAGTTGAATCCAGATCAGTGAGATTGTAGTTTGTTCAGAGAAGATTCTTGAGTATTGTTGATTTTGAGGCATTTGCTTTAGAATTACGCAACTGTGATTTGTTCAATTGCAGTTAGATCCGGTGAGTTCAACGCTAGAAAAGCTCAGATCTAGCAAACGGTGACCACGATTCGGTGAAGTTGAGTCTAGATCTGACAGAATTCGCATCGGTGACGCTCAGATCTGATTAAGAATTCGTGATTCATGCCTTTGCTTCGCTCTGGAATCATGATAGGGGGTGAGAAATCCAATACGGTAGAGAATATCCAGCAGATGAAACTTGATGAGTTGATGAGCATGATCGAAGCTCTTAGGAGAGAGAATGCAGATCTAAGGATTGAAATGCAGCGTCAAGAAGTTCCGGTGATTCCGTGACCACTCCCGGCAGGAGAAGAAGTTGCACGTATCGATGCGGCACAACAAGGCGAGGAGGTAGGGAACAATTAGACAGATCTTCACCGCGAGGAGGTCCGGCCAAACGATTTACCGCCAAATCCTCGTCGTGTTGATGATCGCGAAGGATTAACTCACGTAGATCCACGGTGTGAGCAGATCAGGCGAAACAAAGCCATGACTTTCGATCCACGTCAAGAAATGCCCAACCGAGGAGAAGCAATGGAGTTTGATCGTCACAAAGCTATACCGCCGTGGCACAAAGAATTTATTAAGGACAGATCATTCGATCCGATTTATCGGCCTTCCATGGCGACGTTCGACTATTACAACTCAGAGAGGAGATCTGTAGATCAGAGAGCGATTGCGGGGTTCCAGAGGGAAAATGAAGCCCTTCGTTCAGCAGCTCGAATGGTTGATTCACCGTTCACCGATGAAATTCTGAATGCCCCGAGTCCAAGGAAATTTTCCATGCCCATTTTCATTCTGTTTGACGGAACGACCGATCCGATTGATCATGTGTATCACATCCAGTTGAAAATGGCTCTGAACACTGAAAATGATTCCTTGATGTGCAAGTGCTTCCCTACAAGTCTAGCTGGACCAGCGCTCAATTGGTTCAAGAACCTACCGAGGGGTTCAGTGGACAGTTTCCGAAGCTTGTGTGATCGGTTTATAAGCTAATATTATGGAAATAAGCGTCCAGCAAAGGACATTTCGAGCCTATTCACAATGAAGCAGCATGAGGATGAACGTCTCCAGGCTTTCCTAACCAGGTTTAACCTTACTAAGAGTATGGTGATTGAATGTCATCCTTTTACCGCGGTTCAAGCGTTTATACTGGCCATGACTCGTGGCACTCCATTCCACACAAGCTTGGTCATGAATACGCCGAAGACTATGGATGAACTTAACGAAAGAGCTGATGGATTTATGTGCTTGGAAGAAGAAGAGGCAGCTAACGCTCAGAAGACATCCGTCATATCCACAGAGGAGAAAACCAAAGCAAAGATCAGACAAAAACAGGTTCAGCCACAGCGTCAGACCTCGTGGAAATCTGAGAAGAGGCCCAGGGAGGAAGAGCTGGTTACTCCGTTGAAAGTCACTTTAGCAAGGCTGTACCAAGAAAAAAAAAGATAAGTTTCGATCTCCTTTACCGATCAGACAACCCTTCGAACAGAGGGATTAGTCTAAGCATTGTGCATTTCATTCTGACTTTGGCCATCAGACTAATGAATGCAAGAACTTAAGAAGACAGGTAGAGATGCTGATAGCCAGAGGGGAGTTTGCAAGTTATATTCAAGGCCCGACGATGGAACAGAACCGACCAATAGAGCACGTGAAGAGGAATCAAAATTCGAACTCTCACAATACGCAACCAGTTCGAATAATCAATGCAATTCACGGTCGGCCTGAGCCTACTGAGGAGTCAGATGAATTGCTTCGAACACGCCTTCGCCAGGCACGGATAAAGAAGAGGATAGGCAGTGTCAATAATTTGTACCAACAGAGCGCATCAACACAGATAAAGTTTGACAGAACAGATCTATTGTGTGTTCAGATCCCTCATGAGGACCCGTTGGTCGTCAGTTTGACAGTAGCTGAATGTTTGGTACGCAGAGTTCTGATTGATCCTGGAAGTAGTGCGAACGTCATGCCGAGGGACACATTTGATCGGCTCGAGATCAAACCGGATCGGCTCAAGCCCACTGGAAATCTCTTGCTAGGGTTTGATGGAAAACGAGTGGAGCCTATCGGTACGGTGGAGGTAGCAGTACACGCTGCAGGGAGGGTTCTGATAGAGACCTTTGTAGTTGTCGAGATTCGTCCCTCTTACAACCTTCTGATTGGCAGAGGGTGGATCCACAGAGTTCAAGGTGTTCCTTCCACTCTGCATCAAGTAATGAGATGCCTGAGGCCAGACGGAACCAAGGTGATTGACATTCATAGGGACCAGGTTGCAGCTAAGGAATGTTATTCAATAACACTGAAGTATGCTGGAAAAGGGAAAGCTCCCATTTGTTCGGCAAGCCCGAGATAGCAATTATAGGAGCCTCCCCCCAAGCAGAGTGGGGAGGAGGAGCCAGTGGACTTGACCGAAGAACCCCTGGTTGATGTGCAGATCGATTGGTTCCAACCGGAACGAACAACCAGAGTGGGGGAACGACTCGTCGTGGAGGAGAAGCAGGAGTTAGTTAATTTCTTGTCTCAAAACGCCGATGTATTTGCATGGAGCCACCTAGACATGCCTGGAATCGATCCTTCTGTATCCTGTCACTCCTTGAACGTTAATCCCAATGCAAGACCTGTAAAGCAGAAGCAGCGACGGTTTGCTCCCAAGCGCAACCGGATCATAGTCGAGGAGGTTGACAGGCTGCTTGATGCGGGATTTATAAGAGAAATGTATTATCCTGACTGGTTGTCAAACGTTGTTGTGGTGCAGAAGAAGAATGGGAAATGATGAATGTGCATTGATTTCACCAATCTGAACAAAGCTTGTTCGAAGGATAGCTTTCCGCTGCCGAAAATTGATCAAATGGTGGATGCTACTACTAGATATGAGCGTTTAACCTTTTTAGATGCTTATTCAGGTTATAATCAGATCCCCATGGATTCTTCTGATGAAGAGAAAACTTTTTTCGTTACCAAATGCGGGACCTATTGTTACAAAGTCATGCCATTCGGACTGAAGAACGCCGGAACAACTTACCAAAGACTTATTAGCAAAATTTTCAAGGGCCAAATAGGGAAGACTGTGGAAGCTTACATTGATGACATGGTGGTAAAAAGTAAGAAGAAAGTTGACCATCTGAAACATCTACGAGACGTATTTGATGTGTTGAGACAATATGGAATGAAGCTCAATCCAACCAAGTGCTCATTTGGCGTGAGTTCTGGCTAATTACTGGGACATGTGGTTAATCATAGAGGCATAGAGGCAATCCCTGCCCAAGCAGGAGCTCTGACTAAGAATGTCGAGCCGACGACAGTCAAAGAAGTGCAAACACTTACGGGACGGATCCTTGCGTTGAGCCGGTTCATTTCCAAATTGTCAAATCGTTGCAAACCATTTTTTGACACAATACGAAGCCATGGCAAACAAGTTTGGGGGGATGAACAGCGCCTAGCAATAACTGCTCTGAAAGAATATATGCAGAACCTTCCGGTCCTGTCAACTCCAGAACCAGGCGAAAAACTATTTTTATACCTCGGGGTATCCAGCATAACGACAAGTGGCGTTTTGATCCGTTGTGCAGAGGGGAAGCAATATCCAGTGTTCTATGTTAGCAAAATGATGACTGAGGCCTACGACGTTATTCAAAGGTGGAGCAAGTGATACTCTCGCTAGTGCATGCGAAAAGAAAGCTCAGGCATTATTTTGAATCCCATCATATCATCGTTCTAACCGCTTTCCCTATCAGAATAATCCTGCACAAACCAGACCTCTCAGGAAGGATGACGAAGTGGGCCATAGAGTTAAGCTCATTTGATATAACATATGAACCCAGAACGGCAGTCAAAGGGCAAGCGGTGACAGATTTTTTACTAGAATGCAATTCAGAAGACATGGAGGAAGACCTTCGAGGTTGTTTGTGGAAACTCTTTGTCGATGGATCCTCAAATCAGATGGGGGCAGGCATTGGGATCAAACTGCAGACACCAGAAGGTACGTCCTTAAGTCAAGCTCTCCGGCTTGAATTCAGAGCCACCAACAATGAAGCGGAGTATGAAGCACTGCTGGCAGGACTTAAGCTTGCCAAGGAGCTGAAGGTCAGAAATTTGACTGTCTTTAGTGACTCGTAGTTAATTGTTCGGTAGGTGAATGGCGAGTATGAAACCAAAGATGAAACGATGGAAGCATATCATTCTGCTGTTATGCGGAAAAACTTTGAAAAAATTGAATTCATCCAAATACCGAGAGAGCATAACGAGGATGCCGATCGGCTAGCATGTAGCACCTCGGGTTCTGGAGAAACATTGGCAAGGGTGATTCCAGTGGGAATATTAAACCAGCCATCCATTTTTGAAGAACCTTCGGGCTCAGATCCTTGGCAAGTGAATGTTATTCCATATGAGCCAAGTTGGATTGATCCGATCATAACTTACATCCGGAATGGTATTCTGCCTGAGTAAAGAGATGAGGCTAGGAAAATCAAATCGAATGCTGCAAAGTACGCCATAGTGCATAACCAGTTATACAGAAGATCTTTTTCTGGGCCGTACTTAAAGTGCGTCACCCCCACAGAGGCTCGGTAGATACTGCGAGCTATTCATGAAGGTGTATGTGGAAACCATTCAGGAGGAAGGTCCTTAGCGCACAAAGCAATGACGCAAGGGTAGTTCTGGCTGAACATGTCGCGAGATGCAGAAGGATTATCCAGAAGGTGCGATAGGTGCCAAAAGTTCGGACCACTGATCCACCAACCACCTGAGGACTTGCACGTAATAGCCACACCATGGCCTTTCGCATAATGGGGGATGGATGTGGTTGGTCCTCTGTCAACTGCAAGAGCTCAGAACAAGTATGTGCTGCTGGCTACAGACTACTTTACTAAGTGGGTGGAAGTAGAGCCGTACCCGAGCGTAACTCAGACTCATGTGAAACGGTTCATTTGGAGTAATATTATTTGCCGTTTTGGTGTTCCGAGGTCAATTGTCATGGATAATGGGACCAACCTTGACAGCAAGCAAGTAAGAGAATTGTTGGAGGAATATGGAATTAATCAAAAGCTGGCGGCAGTAAGTCACCCCCAGGCTAATGGACAAGCAGAATTCACGAATAGAACAATCTTTGCTTGCATGAAGAAGAAGCTTAAAGATAAGAAAGGAAAATGGTTAGATGAACTGTCGAACGTCTTATGGGCTTATAGAACGACCCCAAGGCGATCGACTGGAGAAAGCCCATTCGCCATGGCGTATGGTACCAAGGCAGTTATACTGGTCGAACACTTAGTTCCGACTGTTCGAAGTTTGGCATGGAACCGAGAACATAACGACAGTATGTTGAGGTTTAACCTTGATATGTTGGAGGAAAAGAGAGATGCAGTGGCAGTAAGGCTCGCATCCTACCAACAGACACTTATGAATAGCCATAACAAAAAGGTAAAGCACAGAAACTTTGCACCAGGTGATCTGGTTCTGAAGAAGAAGGTAGGAATGGTTAAGAAAATGGTGGCACCTTGGGAAGGCCCATATAGAGTTGCAGAAGTCTTAAGGAAGGGAGCTTACACTTTAGAAACCATGGCCGGAAGACTGGTCAACAAGCCATAGAATGCTACGTCTCTGAAAAGGTATTATCAATAGAAAATCGAGTTCCAATTTTATCATTGTTCATTTTCAATTTGTGTACGCACGAATGAATGAAATTTTGAAATCTATAAAGAGCTATCTTTTTATGAAAAAATTGAATGTTTGAAAATTAGCAATGTAAGTGACACCTGGCACCATGAGCCGAACGCCAAAAACTTGCCAAAAAATATAAAAAAGTGAAAGTGACAAGTGGCATTCTAGCCGAGCGCTAACCACTCAGCAAAGTAAGTGGCACCTGGCATTATGAGCCGAACGCCAAAAATTTGCCAAAAAATATAAAAGAGTGAAAGTGGCAAGTGGCATTCTAGCCGAGCGCTAACCACTCAGCAAAGTAAGTGGCACCTGGCACTATGAGCCGAACGCCAAAAACTTGCCAAAAAATATAAAAGAGTGAAAGTGACAAGTGGCATTCTAACCGAGCGCCAACTACTCAGCAAAGTAAGTGGCACCTGGCACTATGAGCCGAACGCCAAAAATTTGCCAAAAAATATAAAAGAGTTAAAGTAGCAAGTGGCATTCTAGCCGAGCGCCAACCACTCAGCAAAGTAAGTGGCACCTGGCACTATGAGCCGAACGCCAAAAACTTGCCAAAAAATATAAAAGAGTGAAAGTGGCAAGTGGCATTCTAACCGAGCGCCAACCACTCAGCAAAGTAAGTGGCACCTGGCACTATGAGCCGAACGCCAAAAACTTACAAAAAAAAAAAAAAAAATTATATAAAAGAGTGAAAGTGGCAAGTGGCAATCTAGCCGAGCGCCAACCACTCAGCAAAGTAAGTGGCAACTGGCACCATGAGCCGAGCGCCAAAAACTTGCATAAAAAATTTTGCTGTGTGGAAAAATGACACACTAGCTGAAAGCCAGCCATTGACATACAGAGAAGAACCAGATCAGATAGCACTGAATCATTAAATCAAGGGATTTATAGTAAGAGTTCAATCAAAAGTCGGCCATCTCATTAATGATGAAGTTTAAGAGTTACAAAAAAAATGATGAGGTATACAGATGGCAAAAAAACAAAAGAAATAAGGTCAATACATCAGAAAGGTTCTAGCTAGAAGCATTTGCCCCGTCAGCTTCTTGATGGTGCTGAACGGCTTCCTCATCGTTGTTGGCGTTACCATCCTCCCAGGGAGGAGAATCAAGCTGAATGACAGAATCATTCTGCTGAGTTCTATCCTCAATAGCATTGGAAGAATCATTCTGCTGAGGGTTATCTTCAGCAGCAGTGACAGATGGAGTCACAGTGGACAGAGGAAGAACGTCCAAAGTCAGAACGGTAGAAGGAGTAGGAGTGATCCTGGAAGAGGCAATCTCTTGGCACTTATCAAATATGCCCTCAGCAGGGGTGGAGTCTGGATCGGCATAAACACCCGGAGGATCAATCTCCAGCTCTCTGTTAACCTCATCAAGGGTAGAACCAGTCTGACCCTCATCCAGAACACGATCAGTATAACCCTCTCGGAACCCCTGAGCATATCTGAGGGCCCCAACTCTGGAAAACCGAGCGTGCAGAGCTAGCATACCACCATTTACCTTACTGATGGTGTCGAGTAAAGCATTATGCTCATCCAAAGCCCTTTTCTCAAAGGCCATCCGAGCGGATTGCTCATCACTCAGAAGGCATAGAAGTTCTTCTTTTTCAGCCTTAAGGGATTCTCGCTCGGTATGCCAAACGCTCTTCTCAAGCTGCAGAGCGTTCCTTTCATCCTGAAGAGAGTCCGTCTCCTTCCTCAGAGAGTCTCTCTCCTTTTCAACTTTACCGAGCTGAACCATCAACCCAGTCTTCTGAGCAGCTAAAGCATCGTTCTCCTTATTAGCTGCACCAAGGCTGTCAGAGAGCGTGCGAACCTTGGCATTCACCAGCTCAATCTGCTTCTGCATGGCCATTATCCCGTACAGGGTCTGTAGAGATATACATGACAACTGATTAAACCAAACAAATGGTTAGAAGAAATCAAGTGTAAAGACTGTTTAAAGACTCATTGACTGAGAGGTAGAAGTTACCTCCATGGTAGATAAGGGGAACCGGCTGAACACTTCCTTCTGAGACAGACCCATGGCTACTTCAATGTCCTTAGGAGTCCATATGCTCCTGTAGTATGCCATAGCGGTCTGACCATCCCTGAACATGGTCTCGTTCGGCTGCACAGACGATCCGTCTGTTCGAATGAAGCAAGGGTTCCATGGTGCCGATCCAGAGGCAGAGGCATGCCCAGAAGGGGTAGGAGGCCTAATCAGAGGAGGCCTGGTTAGAGGTTGCACGGACATATTCGGCCTAGAAGGCCTAACCCTATGTGACAGAGGAATGTCATCAGGGCTAAGAGCACTCTCAGGCTGATGCCTTTTTCCTCTCTTCTTTTCCCATGCGGTAGCAGTAACAGAGCTGGGAGGGTTGCTGACAAAGGGGGTCACGTTCGGGTTAACGGTCGTAGTGTTGGAGATCGGGTAGGTAGCCGTCACGTTCGGATTGGTGGAAGGAGTGGTATCCGAAATAGTGGCAGATGAGGATACTGAAACTAGAGAAGAAGTTGCTGCAGGGGCAACAACGGCCCTGGGGGCAGCCTTCCTCCTGCTAAAGGAAGGGATCTAGAGCTGACTCATTGTCTTGTCGAGGGCTGAGATAGCAAGGAGGTTGTCTGAAGTAAGGAGATCCGAGCAGGAGAGAATGTTGTTCAGAACGTACTGCTTCAAGTAGTTATCCCTATCCCTGCACATACCGTAGCTCAAATCATCACAAGGAATGCCTAAGGAACGACATAAGAAAGTACAAAAGCGAGGAAAGCAAATCTCGCAAGGACAATCACTCTTATGGGTTTTGTATTTTTTATATGAAGAGACAGAGCACTCTCCAAAAGCACTCGGGATAGGGAAATCCTCTGAGGCTGGAGAAAACCAGGTTCCTCTAACCCCAATTATATTTTTCCTCCAACCCTTCTCAGAGTTGATTTTATCTTTGCAGATGGACCTCTTCTCAATTGGATAGAAGTGGTAAAACGGTTCATCAGTTCTGATCTTGCTAACCTTGTAACTGAGGAGAAGATCTACGAGGTCCAGATCTAGACCTCTGTCACGGTTTAGAAGCAACATAACAGATAAAACCCTAAGGAAACTTGGGTTCACTTGTAAAGGTGAAAGTTTCAAAGAAGGGGTGCAGAGCGAACCTAAGGAGGTTAAGATGAAGGTGGGAAAATAGAACCTCGCCGGAAAGAAGGCCGGCACCAGTTCTAATATTCACCTTTTTAGGGCAATTTCTAATTTCTATATCGTCAGGGAGATGAAGTCTCATGCGAAAAACATCTAGATCTATAGTCATGGTGAGAATGAATGAGGATTTTAAGGGAGAAAAAGAGGTCTTCCGAAAGAAAAAGGCGAACAAAACTAACCTCAGAGAGAGAAAACACCAAGGGTACTGCAAGGTTGCTGGAAAAAGGAGCTTTTGCAGGAGATCGCCGGAGAGGATTTGGACAACAGTAAAGCAATATGAAGACGGTAAAGAGAATCGATGGAACGTCTATGAGGCTTATAAAGACAAGGTGGGCCCGAAGGCCGAGGAGTCAGGAAAGCGAGGAGTTTTTTGAATCTCGAAGTACTGGTCCCCAAATCCGACCGTCCATTCTTCCATGCGATCTTCTCGAGCCGTCAAGTCATGATTAGCAGCCTCTAATAATTACCCCCTAATTAATAGGGAGTAATTATGGGGGTAGTTGAGGATACAATAAGTGATATGGGCCAGTTATAGTCCGCGGACGTGGCATTGGGGCAAACAATTTAAATACAGCCCATGCAAGAGCACCATAGAATGGGCCGAGCTCGGAGGATCCACCAAAGAAGACCAAGCCCATTAGAAAGAAGGCCCAAGACTGATAGTCCAACAACACTTGTAATTGCCTATAAAAGGGCAGTGAAGAGAGTGAAAGGGGGGGGATTTGGATTTTTGTTGAAAATGTAAGGAGACTCTATAAATTGGGGGGGATAAAATTATTTGCATCTTCAGATACTCCAACGAAATTTCCATAGTCAATCCCTATTTTCTAGGAGCTCATTTCCACAAGTGGTGCTTCAGGAGTCACACCTAAATACCTAGGTTTTTCAAATGTCTGCTGTCACAAGATTTGCACCTCAACTCTACTCTGATATGCAGATTCCAAAATACCTTTTTTTTTTAAAAAAAAAAAAAATACGTAACAGGCGATGATTTGCCACCAACATAAACAAAGTCAATCAGAAGAGAAGTGAGCTCCAGCATCTGCAATGCCTTGATCTCCTGTAGATTGAGCTCAATAGAAGTTCCTAAGCATGTAAGAGCTCAAGCACAGGCTAACTGCATTACCCAACAAGCATTCAATCTTTTACTTCATTTAAGAAAAAAAGAAAGTAGCTTGTAGTCATTGCTGCTTGGGATTTGTGTGTGGAACAAATGTGCAGAAAGGCACTTGTAAAGGTTATTGTGTACAATCAAATTTAAAGGCTTTTCACACTCTGCACCTGAATAAAAATAACAGTACCACAACACGAGATGAGTGCTGCTACCATTCATGGAAGAAATCAGGAACGCGTAGTCATGATTTATTTCTTCAACTTTCAGAATTTCATTATCTGATAATTGCAAATGCAACATATTTATTTGATATTACTGGTTACAACAAGGTAAGAAGACATGCTCAAAAAGCAGTGTGTCAACTTGCACAAACAGACTGAAAAAGGAAACAAACAAGTACACAAGGAGAGACTTGAATCCAAGACCTTCCAAATCAAAGCCTAATACAATATTAGAACCCCACTTTGCCCCATTTGATTAAGCAACAAATGGATGGGTCCAACAATGTATATCAAGCTCTCACACACTTAAAACATAAATTGGCCAAGCTTTCAGCCTTATATAATAAACTGTCTACTTGTAGAATTCCATGACCCAGAAGTTGCAGGTGAAACAATCCATTCTAATGCCAGCAAATCCAGCCCCAGTTGCCAAGGTGAGGAACTCCTGTTGCGTCCGCTCCTTTCCTCCCGGGTTTACAGTCATCATTACCACATCAAGTTCACACATGCTTATCACAGCAGAACTAGTATCAGGTAGCACTGGAAGAATTCCCTCCACCACAATTACCTTCCCATTGTCTGGTACAGCTTTATAGCAGTTCTTTAGCAACTTCAAGCAGTCATCGTCACTCCAATCATGAAGTATCCACTACCACAACATAGTTATCAAGTTTTCAAGTGAATAGTTTGTATAGACTGAAAAAGATCTAATTTTAACACTTACGAGATACCACAAAACCTGAAAGAAAATGTTAATAGTTTACAACGGAAATGCTAATATATCCTTACACTCTTCATTGCGACTGACATGTTGATCATTTTATCCTTTCATTTCCTAAAAAATTGATCATCATTTTACTATTGTTTTCAAAATTACCACAAACACAGCAACTGGGGTGGGGTCGCAGAACAATTCAGTAATCAATTATAGCTTTTTCCTTGGTACTAATTTTATATATTACTATTCAATGTTGCCGTGTTAAAAATTCTTATAATTTGTGATTATCAAATACCTTCATAAAAATCACATCTCCTTCTGGTACACTTTCAAACATATCTCCCCCAAGATGTTCAATGCCTGCATAAAAATGTTAATTTCATACTTAGGTTAGTGAAATGGTTTATGACAGGGCTATGTGTGCTGTGAAACACAATCCTGCGACTAGACCTCAGACCTTATGTCAGCAATGCGTTTACCATCTTATTGAAGAACATATATTCATCACAGTAGATAATCATACATAGGGGCAGTTGTGGTTTGAAACAATTTTGTCAAACTGAATTATAAGCTACCAGAAATGATGCAACTTATCAACATGAAAGAAAAAAAAAATGTACATGTTGAAACTAATAACCTTACCAGGATACGATGCTGCATGTTGTATAACATGTGGCAAGTCGAAATTAATACCCTTGATAGCAGGGTATTTGGATGTAATCATGTTGAGGGAAACTCCGAGACCACCACCAACATCAACAAGCTTTCTAATGAGCTCAAAACCCTTGTAGGACTCTAGGATTTTCTTCATGACTATAGTTGTTTGGTTCTTCATTGCCTTATTGAACACCTCATTGAACCTGGGATCCCTGCCAGGGTACTCAAATGCATGCGCCCCGTGCACTTTGTTAAAAGGAATGCCTCCTTCTAGAACTGCACTTTTTAGTTCGTACCTAGGACCAAATTCAACCATGGAATTAGCTGCAAATTCCAATACAAATTCAACAATAGTATTGTACCCTGAACCCTTATAAAAGATTCACTTGTAATTTCTTAATGAAAAAGAATTCAAAGTTGTTACAAGTTTAGAATTTTTACTCAAAAACAGAAACAACGAAGACTTGCATATAAGCAAGTAAATGGATAAGAAGCGTTTGGAGTTTGGTATACCTAGCAATATTCTATCATGATGATACTATAATATGATTGCCTTGTACTCGACATAGAACAGATTTTCTATGATCAAACAAGATAATCAATATGAAACTCGAAAAAGAAAAATAATAAAAAGATGAATAGAAGCAGGGTATGACATTTTGCTAATTAGTACTGACCAGCTGTCTATGAAGACCTTGTCCTGGACCAAAGCCAACAAGGGGCCTAATGATGCACCATCTTCATTCCTGACAAAGTATTTGGCAACAGGTGCCAATCCATACATTCTTTGGGGATGGCCATCACAATCGCTGACGGAGCAAGTCAGCACAGAGTAACTGGCCAGGAACTGGAGGATCCGGTCCAGCATGGTAGGTGCCTCCGCGTTAGTAGTAGGTATCTGGGATGAAATCTCTATCGGGGAGAGGTGCGCCCCAGGCCCTGCTTTGGCTATGATCTCCAGCAAGCCAAGCTCTATGGCTGCATTCAGCACCATAGGCAGCGAAGCAGAGTTCACCAGTTGCATTGCATACGAGCAATGCTCTTCTTCATCACCATCAAGCTGATAAGAGTCGGAGATCAGTGTATTCTTGTTAATTGAAGAAGAGCCCATTTTGCCTTTAATTTTCACTTACTAGTCACTAATCTTACTACTAGTTTTATATAATGGAGTGGGTTGCAAATGGAAGGAAACAGATGGAGATTATATATAGGCATCCACAGGAACCACTTGGGTGGGTGGTAACTGTTAAGTTATCCATGTGAAGGTTGTATAATATATATTATATGAGTTCTTGAATTTCTGTTGACACGAAATATAGCTGGGGAATTATTATTACTATTATTATTATTTCAGGAATGAGATGCAAGCAAAAACAGTAGCAGCAAGCTTCTTGCCTGATTAGGCCTTGTTTGGTGAGATTAGAGATGGATCACTCCTACCAGTTGCATGCAATGTTCCACTTTTTATTTTATATTTGGAAGGCATGTTACACACTTCTTTACATGTGTATCATTCACAATTGTGAAGTTAGCTTGGATTTTATTTTATTTTATTTTGGTTGTATTTTTGGCACATTTTTGCTCAGACCAGTCAAAGAGTCAATTGTATAACCAACTCGAATGGACATCCCACTTAATTGATCAGAAAGCTGTGAGATAATGGCCGCATAGAGCCCGTTGACTAGTCGGTTTAAAAAATACTTCCTTTGCTAATCGCTGCTAAAAAAAAAGGACAATACTAAAACTAAAACCTATTGGAAAAAACGTCTTGTCTCCCACTTCTTTTTTCTCTCTCATCTGCAGCAAAAACCTCCAAAAACCCTAATCAATCTCCATCCTCCGAATCTCCAACAAACGCTCTAAATTTTGATCAAACACTAAAAAGAACAGAAACCCTAGAATGAATCCCTAAATAGATCAAGTGAGAGAGAGGCAAAAAAAAAAAAGAGAGAGACGAAGACCTGTTTGCGAATCATGGTGTCCATTTTGGTAGTGGGAGTAATGGGCATATCGGAGCTTTCCGTCTGGCCTGAACTTGAATTCCAACAACTCGTCCCAATGTTTTCTCGCATGGGATGATGATTCAACAACACAATTATTACCACAAATATTAACCTACCAAGTTGGACTATTACCAAACGTAGCATGACTGTCTTCTAAAGTGGACGACAACCACCCACCCCTTCTAGAGTGGATGGTGACACTTCTAAGAGTGAGTGTTGAGTGGTGTACATATTTCTTGTCAGTAGAAAGAAAAAGAAAATTTTGGCTATTATATGCAGGATTTCTCAGTTGAGTTTTTACCGATTGACATGCCAACAAAGGGTCTAAACTTCCAACATAAGGGAGGTTCTCAGGGTCATAGTTTCAGTGTTCACGAGATAATTACTGATGGCAAAAGTGGCTAATAAAGTATGCTTTCTTACTCGCATAGTAATAAATCTCTGAGGCCATATTTGGTGTGAGTGAATGGAATCAAATGAAGTTGGATAAAATACGTTTGTTTCCATTTTCTTGTTTTGATGTGTCACATTAAGAATGCCCATTCCATCTAGAAAGTGGAATACCCATTCCTCTTCTTGAGAGGTGGAATGACCATTCCACTCCCACTCATTCCCACTAAATAATAAAATAAAAAAATTAAAGACAAAAAATACCAAGGTCTCTCTTTTTCTGCCTACCAAAAATACACACGTAAAAGTGAGGCTCACAGGTGTGGGATGAGGCTCGCCGGACTAACTTTTTGGTTTGGTCATCACTGGTCTCGCTGGACTTGTTCACAAAGTTGGTCGAAACTGTTGGTCGCTGTAATTGAAGCACGTTGGAACTGATGCTTCAGTTGAATCGTCGATGCTCACTGACCAAGCTTCGGATGTGAACTTTAGTGGGTCATCGGAGTGAGCTGAAACTTAACAACTCGCCAGAATGATGAAGATTCTGCAACTGGAGCACATCGGAATTAATAGACCTTTGTTGCTCAGAATTCACACCGGAATCACTGGTTGAATGAAGCTCACCGGCGTTCATGGTGATGGAGCATCAGCTGGGTCTATCTTCACTGGAACCGTTGAGTCTTTGAATACAGCTCGCTGATTTGCCAGAGCTGAAGGGCTTTCACCGGTTTTAGTGGAAGTTGAGAGTCTTAGTGTTCACCAGTTTTAAGGGAAGCCGAAGGTCTGAACTTTTGCCGGAACAGTGAGAAGATTCTCTTCTTTGCTTGGGCACAATGAACGCTTCAGATTCAATTTCTATCAAGCTCTGATTTACTTGTAAATGATTTCTTTCACCAGATTCAATTTCTTATTCTCCTTGTTATATCTATAATGTGAGTCGTACGCAGCGGAATGTATATAGAAAAGTTTTTGTTTGTATTTATAAAACAGATCTGTGTCCTTACTTTACTTATTTTATATTTTAGCAATTAAACAGTTAATCACATACAGATAAAACAAAGCAAAGTATAAGTTAGAGATGACACCAGGATTTTAGCGAGGAAACCCCAGTTGATAAAATACGTCAACTGTGAGAAAAAACTCGTGGACTTGTGCAATCCAAAGTAAACCAATCCACTATGCTTGGAACAAAGTATACTGAACTTTGACTCTGGCTCACACCCTATCGTTCTACACCACACCAACCGCTGACGATCATTTGGCTTTGCGACTCTCCGTCCAACAACAACTTGATCTCAGACTGACACTTGATATTTGTAGAAAAGTAGCAGGTAAATCAGACAGCACTCCCCGAATGCTCCAATCATTCCAAAGTGTGACTGCGTTTACTTCTATTCTTCAATCGTCTGAATGATGTAGAAAAAGATGTGCTTCGTTTGATCGATGTTGATACAACCGTTTGATCACGATCAGGATTCGAACACCACAACTCTAATCTATCTAGGTGAATATGTGTATGATCTAGGAAGACTACAGAAAAATCAACTTTGATTTTTTGAGAGAAAGAAACTTCCTAAGGCTTTGAAAAATATATGACTTATAATGTAAAAGCCATGAATAAACCAATGTATATGACATGGTTTATATAGAGTCTAGAATGACCTAATCCCTCTGAAAATAAGGTAAAATTCGCGCATAAGATTTGGTACAATTTGTGATACCCCTCGATTCTAGAGCCACGGGTGATTAAGTCTAAGCACAGAATATAAGAGATATCATACAATTAATATTTAAACAAGCATTTGAATACAAAAAGAATAATAAAGAAATAAATAAATAAGAAACTGAAGGAAACTAAATATTAAATCCTTATTTAAAAATCCTCAAATAGAAATAATTAAAAATCCCATACAAAATCCTTCAATCCTCTGAAACCAGTAATTAATTAAAACTACAACTTGGGAATCCATATTTTGGACCCCTAATAATATCCTAACTGAATTAACTGAACTGAAATAAAACTAATAATTAAACCATGAAGAAGAGTCCTACGTAGAGTCGGAAGAGTGAATGACTGTCTCTGCTCGGCACGAATAATCTCTAAGACTGGAACTGACGAACACCTGAAAAATAATGGTGGGTCAAGCCCACAAACAAGTTCTAATCTACTACATCCCAAACAGAGACCCGATACACGTACACATCCTAATTAATTCAACAATAACTAAATAGTCCATATATAGATATATACACACTAAAGGAACCTCACTAGACTATAGAGTTGTCTCAACCTGAATAGTAGGCAACATGCAAAACGCACATATAGTGGGCATGAGTACCTAGACCTACCAGGGTACACAACTACGCTATATCTAGCTACACATCCCTGGCAATATACGCACCCTAACCACTGATCCTGAGACTCGAGCTCATATCATGGCGTATAATTATATATGTAAAATCCGTCCTATCCAATCATAAAAATAAACTATCCAATTATTATTTTAATTATATGTCATCCAACTATTCCGTTGACCTGACACGAATAAGTAGGATTTAACACTATGGTTAATCCGCTCCCTTATTAAAAATAGGTAGGACTTAACTCTTAAGTTAATCCGTCCCTAATATGCCCCCATCCCATAATGATGCATTAATCCATATCATAATCCAATAAAAGTTTTCAATCCAAAGATAATGTAAATAATATTTACATATAATAATCCAAATAAACATGATATAAATCATATATACATCCTTTACATTTAATTAAGCAAAAATAACAATTATAAGTATCTTTCATTTAATTTACCTCATAAGAAATTAACATGCTTTTCAATTAATTGCACTCCTCCACAATTTGATTAAATTCATTTAAACCCAAATAATTGATTTAAATAATTTAATCCAACCCTATTTAATTAATTTAACCTTTAAATTAAATTTCATACTTGGTATGAGTACTCTAAATCATGCAACCCAATCCTTAATAAATCTATTTAAATTAAATAAATATGTAATACAAACCATCAATAAAATATAATATATATATATATATATATATATATATATATATATATTAATTTAATTTAATCATAATAACAATCATTATCTCAATCATTACTTTACTTTATAATAATCATTACTTCAATCATTATTTTACTTTATAATAATCATTATTTCAATCATTACCTTACTTTATAATAATCGTTATTTCAATCATTACTTTACTTTATAATTATCATTATTTCAATCATTGCTCAATCATTCCCTCACTTTATAACCAAAACCAAAATCTGATTATAGACTTCACAATGGAAACTAAAATTCACGCCAAGACTATTGCGCCTCGTTCGGCGTGCTCTTCTCAGAAAAACAATAGTGAAGGAAAAACTAATATATATCAGATTATTATTAAAGGACTATCCTTATATATATATATATATTTATTTATTTATTTATTTATTAAATATACATATACATGGGTAATTATCCGTACCCATTAAACCCCTTACCCAAGTAGTCCATGGAGCTCAATTGATTGGTCAATTACTACTATTCATATCCAATTCCTTAAAAATATAAAAATAAAATAAATAAAAATAAAAATAAAAATAAAGCAATTAAATTCCTAAATAAATACACATCATCACATACAATTCAATTTAAACAAATAATTAAATCAATTAAACAAATAAACAATTAGCCAAGAAAATAACTAAATAATTAAATGCAATTAAAACTATTAAAATAATACCGAGACTATCCTTTTTAAATTAGGGGTATTACACAATTCTAGACCAACTAGGAAATAATTCAGAATAAGGAAACTAAAGTTGTATAGTGAACAGAACTTCTTGAACCTGTTCAATAAATCTTGAACCGGTTCAAGATAGACAGAATGTAAAATCTCAACTATGCTGAAGTTGAACCTGTTCGATAAATCTTGAATCAGTTCAAGTTGAACCTGTTCGATAAATCTTGAACCAGTTCAAGATGGACAGAACGTAAATACTTGTTCCTAAGAAAATAGGAAGTGTAGAATGTCCAACCTTGTTTAGAATCTTTCAAGTGCGGTGTTCTTACCTTTTTCCTCAAAAATCTTCAAGTATGGTAAGTTTGAACTCCTTCCCAGTTGTGTGATTCCTGTTGAACTCGATGACTTGTAGAACAAGTAATTTAAATTACAACTCAACTTGGACTTGTTATATTTACGATAATTGCCAATAAATAAATAATATCTCACAATCTCCCCCTTTGGCAATTTCGTGACAAAACCCTAAAAACAATATTTGCAATCTACCCAAAGCAGAAAAGTAAATTACATGATTTGCTTAAAGGTAATAGGAACACTGTTCGTCTTGGATTCAAAACTTGACCTGTTTCTTACACACTATCAAGCAACAACTACCAGTGAAGTTTAATAAATAAGAATTTAAAAACTTCCCCTGAAGTAAATATCCAATTAGCATTGTTTTTCCATTTGTTTTTATCTTTATTTTTTTATCTCCCCTTTTTTGTAACAAATTGACAAAGGAGTGAAAAAAAAAAACTAAAACAGTAAAGTCCAAGTCAAAGAAGTCAAGGAAAGCACAATCCGAATAAGTATAATAAAGGCTATGTAAGCATATTCTAGGAATATCCAAAAACAAAGACAAGTTGTGCAATAATTAAAACAAAACATGATGTCATGATGCATGATGAAAAATCAATAAAAGCAGTACCATGTCCCCTTAACCACTCAGAGATAAGAAAACATCATCTTCAGTCTTCACCATTTTCTTCTTCATCCTAATCCTCCTCATCCGCATCTATATATTCAGCCCCCTCTTCATCA